GATTTTATATCTAAAGTAAAATTTCTATTGCTGTAGCAGAATTCTAAGTTAAACTTTCTTAATGCCATACACAATATTTTAATTTATTTATTTATATTATATTTCATTTATAATATTCCATTTAATTTTTAATGATTGTTTCAAAAGAAATCAATATCTTTCTTTTTCTCTAAAATAAATCAAAATTTATTAAAATATATTAATCAGCAATAGAAGAAATATTCAAAAAAATCATCAGAAGATTAAATATGTCTGTAGGTTTGTTTAGATCATATTTATATCATTTAAGCCAAATTTAATGAAAAAGCTTTAAAAAAAAATATAATGTATCTAATGCGAATATAATTTAAAAATTTTGTTAGCAAATTAATTATTTCTTAAAATATTTAATAATATATTTTTTGTGAGAAAATAAAACATATTAAATAACTTACTATCTTATCAATTATATTTAAAACAATTATGTAAAATAAAATCATTAATCAACAGTATCAGCTTCAAGATTGCTGAAAACTTGATTTCGTACTATCAGAAAAAATATAAAGGATTGGAAATTCTGGATATATTTTAAGTGATTGAGGTATATTCAACATCAACTTTATAATTCAGCATTTTGATTCTAATATGTATCATAATGATAGGTACATATATTAAATTGAATCAAATAAGAAACTAAGGAGATTAAACTTCCAATTAGATTAGATTGAAATCAAATTGATTTCATTCAAATTATGAAAAGAACATTATCACAATATTATTTTTAAAATGAGTTTATTTTAAAGTAATTTTTCAATTTCATAATAGATTAATTCTTTTCACTTAAAACAACAATTAATTGGAAAATGTAATGAAAAGTTTATAATTTAGGATGGCTTTTAATTCTAATCTATTGGTAATACAAAATATGTAATGGAAAAAAAAAAAAAGTATTTATATAACTTAATTTGATATCTAGTTAAGTATTATAATTTAAAATTTGATTAATTATTATAAGAAAAGAAACAGGATACATTTTGAGAATTCATTTATTAGATCTACATGTTTGAAATTATATTATGAAAACATCACATCTATAAAAGCTTAATTGATTTTCACAAGTTATGAAGGAAAATGATGAATTGAATAATTTGTTTATATTTAATGAATTTATTTATTTACATTATTATGCAATAAAGTTTTATATTATTATTATAAATAAATTTAATGAAACTCTTTTTGATTTTAAGAGAAATACTAATTAGTTTGTTAGTAATTCATAAATTATTTAGAAAAAATGATAGAAGAATAATGAATTTAACAAAGCCTTTTTTTATATTAACAATTAAAATATTTATGGGTTATTATTTTTATTATTGAATTATCAAGTATTATATAAAACATTGATTACGTAATTTTATAATGAATTCGTAAAATCTGCAATTCTGATTTGATGACATAATTTTTAGATATATTTTTGTTTGAAACCAAAATAAATGCGAAAAAATATCTAATATATATATTAAATACAATGTTAACAAGATTGATGCTTTTATCAATAGAAATAAATTAGTGTTTAAGTCAAAACATTAAAGGCGAATTCTCTGAAAATGTATTTCTATCTAATAAAATCATAAATGAATAAGAACCTTATAATGTGAATTATTAGGAAGATTAAAACAATGAAAAATATGTGCTGTTTTACTTTCATCAATATGCTAACTTTATAGCATGGGGTATTTTAGTAGATTTAGGTATAATTGTCAATAGGTATGGAATATTATTAAGAAATAAAATTGACATTCATGCAATCATAATGGGTATTGTTGTTTTACCATCAATAATAGCTGAATTATTTATAATTTTTTCTGGAAATACTCCTAATATTTAGGGTAATAAAAATTTATAGGGAGTTCATTCTATAATTGGATACATATTTTTGGGACTTATACTTTTATAAACAATAAGTGGAATCACAATTAAATTTGGTATTCAATCTGTAAGCACATAAACTCATCTAAAAATAAAATCTGTTTTTCATATATTTTTGGGATACATTATATATCTTACTGGGAAAATTTAATTAGGTTTTGGTTATTATATGACATATTAAAATTAAAGAGACAATGGAAAAGGTGATATCATATCTTTTTGGTGTGTATATGGATTTATTTTTTTATGGAGAATAATTTTTGAAATATTATATTAAAATGGATTAATATACTAAATATTGATCAAAAAAGATGAAAAGTAGAGAGAACATTCAGGAATACTTGAAGATTCATTGTTGGTTTAATATATTGAGTAAAATGGTATATTATATTTTTGATTATTTAGAGTAATCTTAATTTTACAATGAATTTTAGAATAAGCTTTGGTTAATTTTCAATAATGAAATAATTGATTTAACAGGTTTTTAACATCCAGGAGGATAATATATTTGGGAAAGAGTAAAAGGTCGAGAAGTATCTAGATTTGTATATGGAGGTTGTGGTTTAGAAGATGGAACAGCCTAATAATACTCTCATTCAAAACATGCTATTATATTATTGAAAAATCATATTATTGGATCATTAAATAATATTTCATTTACTATTCCAATCGATGAAAATAATATAAACAGTACTTAATGGACATTAAATACAATAATTAAAATAAATGATAAAACTAGTTATTTTGGATTTAGTAATGTTCAATTCAAAATATTATCACAATTTACTACTATTCATTCTTTTGGTAAATATTTTTAGTTATAATCTCTTAAATCCATAAAAACTCCAATCAGATAATACACATGTATATCTTCAATGGCTCCTGAAAATGTTATTTATAGAAAAGAACTTGTATAATATATAGACTATATTGTAACAACAAAATAGTTAGCTAAAATTCCATAATAACCAAAATATTTGAAAGAATTACCTTTTATAATTAAGTGTTATGAAACTAAAAATGGTTTTTCATAATATATTCACAATCATAAGGATGAAATTTATCATATAAAAGGACCATATGGACCTCCACATGGAATACCTAATAGAGGAAAAATTGTTATTATTTGTGGTGGAACTGGAATATTTCCATTTTTAGATTTATTTGATTTCACTCTTAAAACTATTATTTATTAAATTGCATTAAATAAGTTTGGCAAGTAAACAGCTGATAGTTTAAATCCATTTGATTGCTAATACAATACTCATATTCATATTACTTTATTTTTGGCAGCAGCTAATAAATCAGATTTAATAGGTTCAGACATTCTATTTCCTATTATATAATTATAAAAATACTTAGGGAAAGAATTCTTGAAATTAATTATTAAGATTAAAGATAAAATAGAAGGAATTGAAACTATTAATGAAAGATTTAGTAAAACAACATTCTATAAATTTTTGGGCAAAATCTTGGATTATTAGAGATTCATGATTTGTGGACCTCCTCAAATGTAAGAATCAGTCCCAATTATACTTAAAGAAATGGGAGTTTAAAACCAACATATCCATTTCATTTGATTTATTCAATAAAATAACTTACAAATTTTTTCTTATTTTTAAGATTTTATATCTTTATAAAATATTTTATTAAATATATTTCAAATTTTTAGCCAATTTAAATTATTATTTTAGTTCTACCAATACTAAAAAGAGAATTTTAAACTTATATTGAAACATACAAATAATTTAATAAATATATACTGAAATAAATCTTTATTTTATAAAATAATAATTTTATTCAGTAAAGAAATTATGACTTGGTATTATTATTAAAAACTATTCAAACTTAACACTTTTTTTAATTTTCAACTCTTTTGTATCAATCATTAATTTCAAAGTTTTTTTATTAATGAATTTAAAATTAATAAATCTTTTTAGCATTTTTTTCTCTAAATTAGACTCTATTTGCTAATAAAAAAAAACAGATAATGTATCATCATATAATAAGATTTATTAATTTTAAATTTAAGAAGTACCTCTTTTTCTTCTAATATGTATTATAGAGAGATTAAATTTTCTGTTTCGCTTTCCTTTCCTTAAAATCTTTGAATACTTATAAAGTAATATACTCATCAGGTTTTCAATTAATCTAATCAAACCAATCCAATAACGTTTTTAAATAAATACTATTTTCTTTAAATGACAATTAATATAAATTGCCATAGTCTTATTTTTCTTTCAAAAATAAATATCTCCATCCAATTGATTCAAAATATTTAAAAAAATTTTCTCAATTTCATGTTTAGTAACTAATAGATTTAAAAATCTAATTCAATTTAAATCTAATTAATTAATTCTTTTCATTATTTATAGTTTATTAGTTCTTTAAAAAAATATTCTAAACAAAAAAAATATAATTAATCAATTATTTCTGAAGTTACCAATGATATCTAATATTTTAATTTATCTTTTAAGTTTATCCTTTTTACCTTATGTTTTTGATAAAATTATCTAAAATTTAGTTTTGATATCTTTGATTTAATCACTGATGAGGTTACTTTAGAATCAAAAAGATAAGATTCCAAAAACATTATGAAATAAATTTAATATATTTGATGCTTCTCCGTTACAAACATTTATTTAAAGATCCCTAATTTATCTAATTTCTTAAATTTTCTTTTTGATTTTAAATAGAAATTCAGGCTTTAGAAATCAAAAGTTTCAAATTTTATTAATTGACAAAACAGTTATGTTTTAACCGAAATAAACTAAATCTAAGGACTCACCTAAAAATTTATCCAAATTTCAAAGAATCAAATCGATTTTATAAATGATTAAAATCAATTCTAATGCAAATTTAAAAAGTTTAATATTTATATAAAATTCTATTCATATACGTTAATAATTGTAATTAATAATTTATTGATTACATGAAAATGATTAGTTTTTATAATTATTAANATGAATTTAAAATTAATAAATCTTTTTAGCATTTTTTTCTCTAAATTAGACTCTATTTGCTAATAAAAAAAAACAGATAATGTATCATCATATAATAAGATTTATTAATTTTAAATTTAAGAAGTACCTCTTTTTCTTCTAATATGTATTATAGAGAGATTAAATTTTCTGTTTCGCTTTCCTTTCCTTAAAATCTTTGAATACTTATAAAGTAATATACTCATCAGGTTTTCAATTAATCTAATCAAACCAATCCAATAACGTTTTTAAATAAATACTATTTTCTTTAAATGACAATTAATATAAATTGCCATAGTCTTATTTTTCTTTCAAAAATAAATATCTCCATCCAATTGATTCAAAATATTTAAAAAAATTTTCTCAATTTCATGTTTAGTAACTAATAGATTTAAAAATCTAATTCAATTTAAATCTAATTAATTAATTCTTTTCATTATTTATAGTTTATTAGTTCTTTAAAAAAATATTCTAAACAAAAAAAATATAATTAATCAATTATTTCTGAAGTTACCAATGATATCTAATATTTTAATTTATCTTTTAAGTTTATCCTTTTTACCTTATGTTTTTGATAAAATTATCTAAAATTTAGTTTTGATATCTTTGATTTAATCACTGATGAGGTTACTTTAGAATCAAAAAGATAAGATTCCAAAAACATTATGAAATAAATTTAATATATTTGATGCTTCTCCGTTACAAACATTTATTTAAAGATCCCTAATTTATCTAATTTCTTAAATTTTCTTTTTGATTTTAAATAGAAATTCAGGCTTTAGAAATCAAAAGTTTCAAATTTTATTAATTGACAAAACAGTTATGTTTTAACCGAAATAAACTAAATCTAAGGACTCACCTAAAAATTTATCCAAATTTCAAAGAATCAAATCGATTTTATAAATGATTAAAATCAATTCTAATGCAAATTTAAAAAGTTTAATATTTATATAAAATTCTATTCATATACGTTAATAATTGTAATTAATAATTTATTGATTACATGAAAATGATTAGTTTTTATAATTATTAATATTAAGATTACAAAAAATATTTATATATAACACTTAATTATATTTAGTAATGAAAAGTTATTAAATAGATTCTTGAATTTTCTTTAGTTCAACCATATCTTATAGCTTTACATGATTTTGAGTCTTCGATGTTGTAAAAACTGGTGATATTAAAAATGTGTTCAAATATAAGGTTATAAAATTATTGACTTAAAACTTTCCTCAGTATAACTCTAATTTTTAGAAGATATAGTCATGAAAAGTTTGATGTTGCGGAACTCTAATGATTGAAAAAGTCAGAACTCAAATTTTATATATTTCTAATCAATTTAGTAATAAAAAATTCAAAGAATCTCTATATCAGGAGGAAATATTTAAATTTTTGAATCTCTATTCTTAAAAATCAAATGTAGGAATAAAATTGACTTTAATTTCGAAATATTTTAAATCCCTCCTTTTTTCTAAAATATATTCTCTCCCTTTTGAAATTGATTATGATAATTGAAGAATTGTATATTAAGGAGGGAATAAAAAATATAATTTAATTTATAAAATGTAATTCATTATGTTTAGACGTATTTATTTTCTCTGACTTTTTTATAAAAACTATAAGAATATTTTCATATAGAAGAAATAATGCAAAAAACACATAGTTCAATTAAATAACATGTCAACATATTTAAATACAGTTTAGGATTAACGATAAGCCACAATTAGATAAAAAAAAAATTTAATTTTCGCTTTTATTTTTTGATTATTCAAAGATTGAAGTCATTTTAACGAAGAATATAGAAATTAATTAAAACTATTCAAATACTATATATTATTTACAAAAAACTTCAATTAGAAAAAAAGTGAGGTTAAAATTTAGTTTTGAACCAATTATTTATACTAATGTATGTCGAATAAATAGAAAAAGTATCAAAAATAATATTTACATTAAATAACTCTTAAAATAAACAATAAAAAATTTAATAAATAAACAATGAATTAATTTTGAACAGGAAATGTTAAAAAGAATTTTTCTAAATTCCAATTTATGCTTCATCTAATGAGGTGAACTTATTAAATAATAACATATAATTTTTTTAATAAAAATACTCAATTTATTTTCCTTATTATATTCAGTTCTAATATTTATGCTAATTCAGCTATTTTATAATATTATTTTATGTCATTTATATTATTCTAGCTTTTAATTGAACTCCTCAGTTTTACTAAATTTTTTGATTAAATTAAAGCTTCTAATTCTTTATTTTACTTTGAAATCTACTCATAATCTTTTTGCAATTCTTCAATCATTTTTTTATCGAACTAATGTAGTATAATATTTTCGTATATCTTGAATAAATTTTATGCTTCTATCTCCTTTTAAGTATTTTCTTCAATTTCTTCATTTAATTTTTATTAAAAGGCTAAATTTTAACTATTTTCCTTTAAATTATTCTTTTATTTATTTGCATTTTCATTAATTCGTTCATAATATCTTGTTAAATGATACATTTTTATATAATTAATTTAAGTGTATAATTTTTCACAAGATTCTAAGCTATTTTTATAGATATTATTGAACTATTAAACTTTATCAATTTAAGGTATTTTCTATATTAATTCATTTAATTGATAAGTTACAGTTTGTATTACCTATTTTAATTCACTAAAAGGTTGTGGATTTTATTGTTAATTTTATTCCATTTGACATATTTCAGTTATTTTTTATTAAATGAGTTAGTCTTATTAATATAAGTACTTATAAGTAGTAAAAAGAGAATTGTCTAAAGGCATAAATTTTAATTCATGTAATTTATTATGCACGATTTATTGTACTTCAATTAATTTTTAATTTTTTTTTTAATTAAGATCTTATAATTTATAGAGTTATACTGGAATATTATTGAAAAATTCCTATTACTTCCCTTTCATAATTGTAATTAGTTCTTCATTTAGCTTTTGATTATCTTTATAAATTTCTTAGTAATTATCAATTGCCTATATTTCTAATTCTAGTTATTTTTTTATAAATTCTCTTTTCTCATTTATTTATTCTAAATAAGCTATTTTATCTTAATCAATTTTGACTGACAAAAATGCTTTTGAAAATTAAAGATATATTTATTATAATTAGTTTTTTAATTAAAAATATTCTTTTTCTTAGTCGCTTTTGTTTTCATTACTAATTTTTTAAATTACTAAATGCAATTAATTTACTTTCTCTTATTCATTTAATAATTATTATTTTAATTTTTCTTAAAATTATTCTAAATATATTATTTGAACATTTATAGCTTCACAGGAAGTTAATTCATTAAATCTTTAGAAATCCTAATATTATTGTTAAATTAAATAGGCATTTTAATCTATTTTAAGTTACTTATCCATTATTAAAGTTCTTGTTTCATTATTACAAAATTAATTCTTACTGAATTCACAAACTTAAACTTTAAGATGATTCATTTTATCTATAAATTCATTTAATTAGCCTTCAATAGCTTTTATTTTTTTTATTCTTTCAGCATTTCTTTATTCAATTTATTAATCATTATGTACTTATTCAAGAATTAAATTATGCTATCTTTATAGTACTTATAATTATTAACTAAGATATTCAGTAGTATTTTTGAAATTCTAATAATTATCAAATAGTTCTTAATTTAATAATGAACTTAAACCTTTTAATTATTCAAAGTAATTTCTTATTTGATTATTTATTAAGTTTATTTTTTCATGATATTTTTTATTTTAGGATAGATATATAAATTTATCCTATTAATCTAATAAATATTAGGCTAAATCATCAATTTATCTTTGTTTTTCTTCTAAAAATTTGCTGTCAATTTTTTCAAGATATTGATTTGTTTCATCAATAAAAATTTTGATTCTATTTTAAGATAATAAAAGTTCTTCAAGCTTGATTTTAACAGATTAATAGTTAATGAGCTTTTGTGATTTTTCAATAAAATTTAAAGTTTTCTCCTATTATTCCAAAACTAATAATTCTTGAATCAATTTCGAATAGTGCCCGACAACTTATTGAAATTTTTCTTGATCTTTAATTGAATATGAAATTCTTTCATAAAAATTCATTCTTTCCTAAATTTTTTTAATATTACCAGAATATGAATCAGATTACTATTTTAATTTTTAAAAGTTATTAAAAAAATTTTTTTTTTCAATATTTAATTATTGCTCTTGTACTTATAGTTTCTATTCTTCTTTTTTTTATTAATCTAACTTTTATTTATCACCTACTTGCTTTTAGAGAATCATCTATTATTCAAATACAATTTGATTTATATTATTTTAATCTTATAGATCTTATTGAAGTTCCAAAGTTAGTTGATTATCTAAACCTCTAAGTTACTCTTATTTAGAAACTTATTATATACATAACTATTTCTGTTCATTTTTTTATAATTTTATCATATTGCTTTACAATTAACTGTTTATATTTTGTATCAACTTATCTTTTTTATCAGCTGATAAATCAATATTTTTGATGGTTTATAGTTGTTATTCTAGGTTATAGATAAACATTTTAATTGTATTTTGATGAGATTATAATAGAATTGATAATAATTATTTTTTATCTTATAATTATTATTAATTTTCTTAATTCTATTTATTTTCTAATTCAGTTATTATTTTTGAATATTCAAGCATATATTTTGTCTCAACATCTAACTCAATCTATTATTTAATTTGTTTTTCCTATTCTTATAATATTTATATAATTTCTTGTTCTTTTTTTTAATTTGCTTCGTCTATATACTGTTGTAGTTAATATTTTTACTCTTCTTCTTTACTTTTTTTAAATTAATCCATTTCATTTTGAAATTCTATTTCTTATTACAATTTCATTTAAGCTAATAACTCTTTATCTTATTATTATTTTAAAGCATTTTCTTGTTAATTTTTTAGTTGTTCTTCCTTTTCTTTAATTTAAATTTCAAATTAATTTTTCTGTATAATTTTTACCTATTCTAATTTTTCAGAGAGTTCTTGATCTTTTTGTTTTTCAATTTATTTTTTTATAAATTACATTTCTTCTTCCTTCTTCAATTCAAAATCACATAATTTTTGTTCATACTCCTCCATCATTGTCCTTTTAGTTTCTTCTTAAATCCTTTAAAGTTTTTTATTCAATTCTTCCTTCTCTTTTGTTAATCTCTCATTTTCTTCAGAGTCTAATTTTATCTGTTGATTAAGTAACTCTCTATCATTTAAAACATGTTATTAAGTAGGATTATTGAATTAAGCTTGTACTTTTAAATTGTTAATTTTTTATTCATCTTAATTTTACTATTGATTATAAGATTATATAATTTTATCTAATTTCGATCTTTATATTGAATTTTTTTTCAGCATCTCCTTTATTAAATCTTTTTCTTTTTGTTATATGATTGGGTTTAATTGAATTTATTTATCAATTTCTAATTGTGACTTATTTTAGATTTAATGTAAAATTTCTGATGTTTATGTACCTATATTATAAATTGTAAATTACCATTAAAGAATGTCTTTCCTACTAACATTTCATACCAAATGATTCCCAAAGACCATATATCTACTGATTTATCATAAAATGCACGTTAATTAAAATTAGTTTATAACACTTCTGGAGCAATATAATAAGGTGTTCCAACACAACAAGTTTTTGCTAACTTATTTGCATTTTCTTTGACTAAACCAAAGTCAATTAATTTAATGATTTTTTATTTATTAGGTAAATTAATATATACAAAGTTTTCAGGTTTTAAATCTCTGTGAAATAATTCCAATTAATGAAGTTAGCTAACTCCTTACACCATCTTATAAAATCATATCTATATAATTACTTAAAGAAAATATTTAATTTTTTATTAATAATCCAATTTAGAGTAATCATTTGTTTACATATATTTGTAGAATTCACCATCTGCAAATTCCATTACAATTATTGGACATTTATTTTAATAATTTTAAAACCCTTTAATTCCAACAATATGGCTAAAATTACTTTATCGAATTTTTTTAATTGCTTCTAATTCATGACTATTGATTGTTTTATATTCTTTAATAGCCACAATCTCCTTGGTTTAAATATTTTCTCCTTTATAAACTGTACCTTCTGTCCCTTCACCAAGTCTTCCTAATCTTTAATAAGTCACACCCTCAATCATAATTTTACCAAAGTTCCAATTATTTTACATTTTGCAGTTCTTCTCTAATAACAAATTTAATTAATACTTTCTTCTAAATTAAACCTATTTCTATTAAAATTAAAATAGGTGTTAATTTTATTTTATTAAAAAATATAATTCATGCTGATATATAATTTAATATATTGCAAAATAATTAAAACTCAAATTCTTTATTTATTCATTATTGTTATTGCTCTGGAATTAATTATTGACTAATTTGATATCTAATTTATTTTAATCTTTAACCACTTACACACACTTTCATATTTTCAAATGTGGAAACTTAAGCAACTTTTCTTATTTTAAAATTAAATTTATATAAAAGGATTTATATTTCATGACATTCCCATATTGAAAAAATATTTTAATAAGCTTACAAATTAAATACAAAATATAATTAAAAATCAATTTTTTCATTTTCATTGATGGACTAAATTTAAACAATTAGTTAAAATAATAAGTATTTTACCTAGCAATAATAAAACAATTTCTTTACTTTCATCCTAATTTTCAACAAATTCAAATTCTCTTGTTTCTAAATATTAAAAAACTCTATTCTATATGAAGGATTAAACTATATATATATAATTTAATTTGTTTAAATTATCAATCAGAAAATGAATTTACCAATGTATCATTAGATATTTATTTTTGCATATGAGAGTCTTTTCACTTTTCTCAAGAAACTGAAATTCAAATTTAAATGAAGAAAATGAAACATATTTCAACAATAAAACATTTAGGCTATATGGATTTGTTAAATTATATTACGTATAAATATCAGATCATTTATTTCTCTAATTATTTTCAGGTTTTGAGATAGCTTCCTTAATTACTTTTTCTGCTTTTGAAGTGTTACTTTTTTAATTTTTTATCTAAGGGATATCGATTTCTTAGCCAAATCCATTCTTTCCTGTAATCATCTCTTGCATTTATTTTCTATCAATAATATATTTATTTTATTAATGAATTTTATAAATTAAATTTTTTTTTAAGTGTTTAACAATTAAATATCTTTATTATTATTACTCTTATATATTTTAAAAACTCCCATTTTGATTTAAGAAGTCTATCGTATGATAATTAAGTAATATTTTCAAAAATTTCAAATTAAAAAATATTGGTCTTAAGTACATGTTCTTTCATTTCTTTAAATATTCTTTTATTATATAAAAATTTATTATATATATATAGTTAATATAATTAGGATTGATTATTTAATACATATATGTTAAATCAATTTCTTTTAGATTTATACAATAAAATTCTATATGGTCTTACATCCTCAGAATTATTCACCACAAAATAACGCTTGATTATCATACTTCAACACATTTTAATTTTTTAAGGATTTACTCTACTCATAAATAATACTTTAAATGATTCATTACCAATATAAATAGGACGTGCATATTTTAAACAGACTTGACTTTTACCAGAAAAATAGATTCCCTTACACAACTTTTTCTGAATTATTTTAGATTTAGCAATTAAAATGAGCATTTACTATCCCTTATTTAATCCATTTTTTAATAGGCTTGCAACAAATTAATTTAAAGTACCATGAAATAATATTCTCCATTCATCTTCATTACCATCCATTTTAATCTAATTCAAATTATTACCTTTATTTTTAAGATTATTGATATTTAACACAAATCCATAACTATCTTTAGGAAAATAATAATCATATTGATTGTTTTTTGGACCTCTAATCTCTTTTTTAGGAAAGTTGTTCCAAGACATATTATATCTTGGATCAAAATCATTTAATGAAATACTTTAATGATAATTTTCATTAGCCTTAACCAAATCATTATAAAAACTAATTTGTCCACCACATACATTTTCTAAAAAATTAATTGCTTCTTAATTATTTTCAATTTCTGATCTACCATTTCTTGTAAATCTTAATATACTACTTCCTTTAATATCTCAATATCACTAGAAGGAACTTCAAATATTTAAGAGACCTTCTCTTAAAAAGTTCTAATGTATGAATTTCTATATTCTTAATCATTACAGAATGTTTCATATTCAATATCACTTGATCTAAAACTTAAACATTCTTAATCATTTCCATATACACTAATCAAAGATTCTAAACCACAAGAATCTTCACAATCTGTAATTAAGTGTTTTCTATTTTAATCCTATTCTAAAGACTCTCTTAATACATATAACATTAATTCAGGATTTGATATTTCTAAATTTTAATTCATATGAGGTATCTATACAATTTATGCTTTTCCTATTTTTTCAAGTTTTTTAACTAGTTCAGATTTTAATTAGCTTTAATAAAACTATCTTTTTATACTAGAGATGTCATCTCTCTATTCTAAACTCTTAATCTCTTCTCTTATTATTACTATTTTTTATCTATAGGTTTCTATTTTATTATTAATTGACTTTTTATTTTATCATTTATGAAACAAATATTTTATTCATTTGTTTGGTTTTTAAATACCATTTCGCTTTTAACTATGTATTCATATTTATATGATTATTACTTAAAATTATATTACTTCTAATAGACATTTTTATTTTAATTATTTGAATTTTATAATTAAATATCATCTGTTTGATAAAATTAAATAATCTCTAACAATTAAAAATATATTTTTTAATTTATATTTCTACATAAATAAGTTGTTAATACTAATCTTAATGATGTAATAAGGATAAATATATTCAGAAAGAAATTTATAAATGGTAATCATATAAATTTTATTTATATTACACTGTTAAGTTTATAATTTTTAATTAAACCTTTTCTCTTTTATCTGGATTTGATTGAAAAAATTAAGTCTATAAATATTGTTTGGATTCCTATTATCTATGAATAGCAAATCTTTAAAATCTTGAATCATTATTATGAAGTATTGGCTTTATGAAATTTACTAATATTTTAATCTACAGTTAAAAAGCTATCGATTATGACTAATTTTTCAACCAAACTTTTCAATTAATAAAAAAGAACTTAAAATTGCAATCTAAATTTATTTTTCATTCTTTAATAACTGAGATTAAACTTTTTATTATTCTCCTAAAGCAAGGCTATTTTAATAATTTTCAAAATTATTCTAAAGTAAGATAATAAAATATAAATTTTACATTTAAGTGTGATAAAATCCAAAATAATTTATAAGTAAAAAAAAATTAAATTAAATTGCAATAACTGCTAAAAATTTAATTATCCATAAAAAATATAAATTCATTATTTAAAATAAATATATTTTAGCTATTTCCATATAAGAGTTGTTCATCAAAAGAAAGTAAATTTATATCCCCAATATTTGTTACTTGAACAATTTCATTCAATAATAATTTTCCTTCTTCCATTTAGTTTATAAACAAATAATTTTTTGATTAATAAAACTATTGTATTTATAATTCTCAGTGGATCCTTAATTTGAATTTTAGAAACTTTAATCAACCCACTTTCAGCACAATAATGCTATAGATTCAAATATCAAAAAAACAGCTATTTTTGTACAAAACTTGATATTATAAAATCTCTACCAAAAAGCATTTATAATTATTCATCTATTAACATCTCCTTAAAAATAAATAAAATATCATCTTAATAACATAATATTATCCCTTAAAAGATCTCATAAGTAAAAAAAACTTCTACAGTCCATAATTTAAATTATATAAAAAATATCATAATAACATATTAATACAAATATTATTAATCTTAAATAATTAATAGTTTAATACACTAATTTATATAGAAAGCAAAATAATCTTGGATAGCTTGCATAAGAGTTTTCATATTTGACTTTAAATAATAATATCTATTATATGTTTTGATTGTTAATTATTATTCTATTTCTATATTGAAATTTTAAAACTTACATATAAATTTATTCATCTAATAATAGAATCTAAAATTGAAAAATTTTCTAAAATAATTTTTATAATTAGTGCAAAAAAGAAAGTTATCTTTATAATTGATTTAGCATTTAATAGAATCAAACTGGAAATGATTAATTTTATTATATTCAAGTTTATTTTACATTATTTTAAAATAATATTACTATCAACTATTTTAATAGCTAAGGCAAGGTAATACTTATCAACCCAACCACAAACCAAAGTTAACCTTTTTTTATTTGATAAATTTAATTGAATATTGTTCTCTATTTGAATTATATATCCTCTTTTAGAGAGTCATTTATATTGGATTCTAATTTATACATTTTATATATTTGATTATTTTATAGTCTAAAATAGTATTTATAAAATTATGATATTTGGAGAAATTTTGTAATTAATAATTAAAAGCAGAAACAATAGACATGTCATAAATCATTGTAGAATTGATTAAAAAATATAATAAAAATATATGAAAACAAAATAGGTATGATTTTAAACAAATCAATAGTAGGAGATGGAACCATTATGTTATTTTTAGCAATTCAGTCTTTAAATTCATTAAATTGTATCCTTAATACCCTAATAAATAGTTCACTATCATAGTTAAATCTATAGCTCAATTTCAGTTTATGAGGTTAAGGAATCAATACTTAATTATTTGGGATAGATGAAGATGATATCGTTGAGGCCAATTATTAAAAACTGAAAGAATGCCATATGAATATAAAAGATAACAGTCAATTGGATATAAAACTCAGATGACTTGGTTGTATACCTGGAAATGCACCAATAAAATTTTTAATGGAACAACTAAAATAATAAAAGATTTAATGCTTATGACTTTTTAGAATACGATATGAATATTTTATAAGTTAAAATTAATGGCTAAATAGTAAAAATGGAAATAGAAATAACTTGTTTTCATGTAGAATTTAAAGGAAAGATTGGCGATGAAGACTCATTGATATTAAAATAATCTAAAGGAAATTAACAAGAAGTTTATTACAATAATAATAATGAAAATACTGTTTAAAATAAAATTAATTAAAAAGGAAATTAAATTGGTGGGTGGTTTTAATTTTAAAAACACTATTTAATAACATCAAAGAAATTGAACTATTAATTATAAATTGAAATGAATGAAAAAATAAATATTAAATAACTATTATAAGTTCTTCAAAGTTAAGATANATTGAAATTTTAAAACTTACATATAAATTTATTCATCTAATAATAGAATCTAAAATTGAAAAATTTTCTAAAATAATTTTTATAATTAGTGCAAAAAAGAAAGTTATCTTTATAATTGATTTAGCATTTAATAGAATCAAACTGGAAATGATTAATTTTATTATATTCAAGTTTATTTTACATTATTTTAAAATAATATTACTATCAACTATTTTAATAGCTAAGGCAAGGTAATACTTATCAACCCAACCACAAACCAAAGTTAACCTTTTTTTATTTGATAAATTTAATTGAATATTGTTCTCTATTTGAATTATATATCCTCTTTTAGAGAGTCATTTATATTGGATTCTAATTTATACATTTTATATATTTGATTATTTTATAGTCTAAAATAGTATTTATAAAATTATGATATTTGGAGAAATTTTGTAATTAATAATTAAAAGCAGAAACAATAGACATGTCATAAATCATTGTAGAATTGATTAAAAAATATAATAAAAATATATGAAAACAAAATAGGTATGATTTTAAACAAATCAATAGTAGGAGATGGAACCATTATGTTATTTTTAGCAATTCAGTCTTTAAATTCATTAAATTGTATCCTTAATACCCTAATAAATAGTTCACTATCATAGTTAAATCTATAGCTCAATTTCAGTTTATGAGGTTAAGGAATCAATACTTAATTATTTGGGATAGATGAAGATGATATCGTTGAGGCCAATTATTAAAAACTGAAAGAATGCCATATGAATATAAAAGATAACAGTCAATTGGATATAAAACTCAGATGACTTGGTTGTATACCTGGAAATGCACCAATAAAATTTTTAATGGAACAACTAAAATAATAAAAGATTTAATGCTTATGACTTTTTAGAATACGATATGAATATTTTATAAGTTAAAATTAATGGCTAAATAGTAAAAATGGAAATAGAAATAACTTGTTTTCATGTAGAATTTAAAGGAAAGATTGGCGATGAAGACTCATTGATATTAAAATAATCTAAAGGAAATTAACAAGAAGTTTATTACAATAATAATAATGAAAATACTGTTTAAAATAAAATTAATTAAAAAGGAAATTAAATTGGTGGGTGGTTTTAATTTTAAAAACACTATTTAATAACATCAAAGAAATTGAACTATTAATTATAAATTGAAATGAATGAAAAAATAAATATTAAATAACTATTATAAGTTCTTCAAAGTTAAGATATTTAAGTATTAGTACTAGATGCTTAAAGTATTATAATAATTGATTACTAATCTGGAGGAATTGCACTTAAATTCACTTTAAAAATTCAAGAGAAGAAACCGAGTTTATCTAATTGGATAAATAAAGTATAAAATAAATTTACAAAATATCATCCCTGAAGATAATTATTTTGAATAACCTAATTTTATGATTAATAAATACTCACGTTTGAATCAATATTAACAAAATTCGATTGAAGTATCAAGGAAGTTTGAAATGATTGAACTTTCTTATAGTTCAATGTTTATAGAAAGTTAGATTTTTAAGTAATTTTGGGTAATCCTTTAGTTACAAAGCTTATGATAGTTCCTATTCTTTTTTTTTATTATTGTAGTTAATGCATCTTATTGACCTTTTTATATTTATAACCAAAACAATTTATTAATTATGGATGATGCCTAATATCGACCTTGGTTAATTATTGATTATCTTCAGTGATAAAAAGTGCTTTAATATTTCATTAAGTTTAATTCCTTAAATTTGAAAGTATTGATATTAGCAAGATTTAGATAGAACTCTTAAAAATTATAGATATTGAAAAAAACATAATATTCATATAAAGTCAAAAGAAAATAAATTGCTGGTTACAAAAATTATAAAATATATTTAAAATATTTCAAACAAGATAACCAATTAATTATTCATATTTTAGCGACATTAATTTTAAAATTATTTTATTATTATTTCACTGAAAGAACAGTAACTTTACTATTTTAAAATAGGAAAAAAAAGATAAATTCAATTCAACTGTTGCATATTAAAATTCAAAGAATATGAAAATTCAATAGGATTTATTTATTCTATATGTACAGTTTTTTTAAATGATATATAATGAAAATACAAAATTAAGAAAATCAGTAATTAGTAAAATTTTGAAATTATTACATCCAAAATAATTTAGCAAACCAAGAATTATATTACAGTTTAATGAGGAATATCAAAAAATTTATTGCTGATATTATTAACGAAGATTATATTTGCCTTTTATTTGAATTTATTCATCATGGTAATGGCTATTTTGAAAAAAGAAAAGCGTTATAGACTATTTTTCTTTAATTAGTATGGATTATCAGGGGTTTGATGAGTAAAAAATAGAAGGTTCTTATTATTTCCATTTAAAAAATAAGTGTTAAATTCTATATTTTAATCATTTAAATCTACTCTAAGCTTGATTAAGATTGCTTCTTAATACCCTAATAATATAATCGGAAAGTAAGTTAAAATGCTAGAACACCAAATCTAGATTACGATAAAATTAGTATCAAACACAAATACCAGAATATATAAAATATAGATCAGAGAATTTAAGTGAGAAATGAGTTGATAAAGAATTTCAATTTATTATTCAAAATAGTGATTAAGATCTTTAAGAAACCTTTTGTTTATTATAATTAACAACTAGTAATAATACATTTTTGGCTAATTTATAATGATATATTTATCACAATTTTTCATTAAAACAATAGTATGCAATTTATTATTTTGGTTGAATTGTAATTGATCATAATATAAAATCATATTTTTCTTAATACTATTATTTCTTCAGTTAATCTTACTTCACATGATCAACATAACTAAGTGCAAGAAATACATTTACCTTAAATTTAAGATATAATATCTTTTTGTATTAGCTTAAGTTGCATTTGTCACAATAAAAATAATTTTTTTCTCTTATTGCTTTGGATATTAAACAATTATTATCATAATATTTTTACACATGTATATAAAATTACTCGATATCCATTTACATATTCTAATGGATAAAATGTAAGAATTACTAGCCAAATGTTCAAAAATTAACGATGGACTAATTTAATTATATATAATTCTTGAAAATATTTTCTATTAGATGATTCAAAACAAGATAAACAATCAGTATTATTTGGACTATCACATTCTTTGCAAGTAAGATGATAATCTATATATTATTAGTCTTAAAATAAGGACAATTCAATAATTAATAATTAAATAAATTTAAATAATTTGTAGAAGATTAATACTTCTCTCTTAAACTTAATTTTTTCTTATTGATATCCGTCGTTTAAATATTAATTATGTTTTCATTATTCTAACAAATTAATGCCATAATTATATATTACTAGTAATACTGAAACTTCTTTTGAATTAAAAAGGATTATTTGAAAAATCAACATTTACTGATGGAAAAGTATAACTATAAGTGTCATAATGATTTAATTTCCACTTGAAGATAACTTATAAATTAATTAAAATGCAGATAAGTTATTATTTATTAATTAAAAACTTCAAAAAAAAATCCAGATAGTTTCAAGAANTAATTAGTATCAAACACAAATACCAGAATATATAAAATATAGATCAGAGAATTTAAGTGAGAAATGAGTTGATAAAGAATTTCAATTTATTATTCAAAATAGTGATTAAGATCTTTAAGAAACCTTTTGTTTATTATAATTAACAACTAGTAATAATACATTTTTGGCTAATTTATAATGATATATTTATCACAATTTTTCATTAAAACAATAGTATGCAATTTATTATTTTGGTTGAATTGTAATTGATCATAATATAAAATCATATTTTTCTTAATACTATTATTTCTTCAGTTAATCTTACTTCACATGATCAACATAACTAAGTGCAAGAAATACATTTACCTTAAATTTAAGATATAATATCTTTTTGTATTAGCTTAAGTTGCATTTGTCACAATAAAAATAATTTTTTTCTCTTATTGCTTTGGATATTAAACAATTATTATCATAATATTTTTACACATGTATATAAAATTACTCGATATCCATTTACATATTCTAATGGATAAAATGTAAGAATTACTAGCCAAATGTTCAAAAATTAACGATGGACTAATTTAATTATATATAATTCTTGAAAATATTTTCTATTAGATGATTCAAAACAAGATAAACAATCAGTATTATTTGGACTATCACATTCTTTGCAAGTAAGATGATAATCTATATATTATTAGTCTTAAAATAAGGACAATTCAATAATTAATAATTAAATAAATTTAAATAATTTGTAGAAGATTAATACTTCTCTCTTAAACTTAATTTTTTCTTATTGATATCCGTCGTTTAAATATTAATTATGTTTTCATTATTCTAACAAATTAATGCCATAATTATATATTACTAGTAATACTGAAACTTCTTTTGAATTAAAAAGGATTATTTGAAAAATCAACATTTACTGATGGAAAAGTATAACTATAAGTGTCATAATGATTTAATTTCCACTTGAAGATAACTTATAAATTAATTAAAATGCAGATAAGTTATTATTTATTAATTAAAAACTTCAAAAAAAAATCCAGATAGTTTCAAGAACTTATAATAAAAATTATCAATTTATGTACTGATATTAGTAATTTTAATCCAACCAAAAAGAGTGAAAATGTTTAACTTTGAAATTACTTAATCTTATAATGTTTGAATTTAAATAGTTCTACAATAAGTAGCAAAATCATCCATCTCATAAATATGGTGAACCTGATTACAAAATATTAAATCATCAAAATAAATCGATGAACATTATTTTTCCTGGAAAATATGATAGTTTTTCATTTTAAATTTTATATAACTAATAATAATTTGTTACTTTCAAATCTCCTCCAATAATAACATTCAAATTTTATCATTAAAGGGAATCTAAATCTAAAAATAATTATAATTAAGGTTATATTTCAAATTCAAAATAATAACCAGATATTTTCATAAAAGCTTTCCGATATAGGGATGACAACTTTATAGATATTTGTTTATCTTTCTTGTTTCTAAATCAAGCCAATTGTAAAATAAAAAGTTATCCTTTTTGCTGTCTATTTTTGTACATTAAGATAACCAAAGCAGTTAATTTAAACAATTTCAATATTTCCAATTTAAATTATGTTGAATATAATTAAAACTATTTAAGAACTATTATGATTTTTCTTTCTTAAATTATTATACTTCAATTAGAATTGGAAATTAGTATGTTCTTAATAAGTATCAAATATGGTTGTTTTATAAGAATCAAGTAAATTATTAAATAAATCCATTTAGAATAAAAATATCATTATTCTCTAATTTCCAAACTCATTTACTAGATTACAAAAGATAATGAAGAACAGTCTCAATTAATATTAAATACTAACACACTAGAATTTCACAAGTTTTTATTAAAAATTTATTATGTATGAACCTATTTAATTATATTAAATTCTGTATTTATTTTTCCCTCATATTATATATCAACTAAAAATTGTTTAAAATATTTCATCTTTAATAATTCAAAATTTTCCTCTAAGGATTGGTCCCAAACCATTTATAAGACAATCTTAAAGATTTCTAATAATTCTAAATAAATTTTTGTTGTTGTTAAAAATAAATCATATTTCAATTTTAATAAGTGCTTTTTCGATGATGATGATGATGTATGAAAACATGAATTTTTAAAATTGGTGTTTTAGAATTTTGGATAAAAAGAGACAAATTATGATATCAAAATGAAAAAAAAAATCAATAAAAATAAAATAATATTTTATTTTATATTAAGAGAAACAATAGAAAAAAATAAAGTCATTCATCAAACTTGTATTTCATAAAACAAATATTTTTAATTCTATAAAAGATCTTTCTACATCAAGTAATTAAAAATGTTTAGATGATATTTTTGAAATAATTATTTTAATTCCTATAAATTTTTTAAATTATATTTTTTTTTTAATTTTGTTAAGTGGAGCAAATGCCGTGAAATTTTTGGTATGTAATTGAAAATCTTTATAAAATCGACTAGATATCATTAGATATTTAACATCTATAGATATCAAAAATATAATCAACTTTAATAGAATTTACAACTGAAATAAAAACAAATAATTATAAATAAAAGAAATTAATTAATTCTTAGATCTTATTAGTTTATATATTCATTATGAATATTCATTATTTTTCGTCTAATTTCATATTAACTCATCTATAAGTGTCAGGATTTGGGATTCGGTATAATCAACTATGCATTCATTTATGATTGGTGTTGCATGATCAATTAGTACTTTATTATAAAAATCTGCATAAACACATTTATGTACTTCTTTAGAATTTTCAAAGTACTTGGTTATTTTCAATTCCATGATTTAGTCAATTATGTTTTATTTATAAGACTGATCCATTTCAAATTTAAAATATATTTCATATTTTATTTTTACGTATTGATTAATCAATCCGGTAAGTATGCTACAAGCCTATTCTTCTTATATTTTATTTTTTTATTGATAATTTAATAACACTTTTTAATATTTCTATTCTTCTTAAATCTCATCTAAATCTAGGCATTTCCAATTCTTTAAGTTGATTCTCATTTCATTTATTTTTTCAAACAAAAATAGATCTAAAACTAAAGGATTTTGATTATATTTTAAAATCAATTGTTATAATGTTTTCTCAATTGTTAGTTGTTGATATTTTCTCTTTGAATACTTGTAATGATCAACAATTTTATCATCGAATGAAATTGTTTGAAAATTAGGGTCAAATTAATTACTTAAAAGTAACTTGTCTATTATATCAATTGTTTATTATATATCTTAATTTTTACAGGAATTGTAAATAACCAGATAAATGTTATTGAAAATATCGTTTTTTGAACTGCATTTTTTATTGCATACAATATTATTATTTGCAAAATATTAGATTATGCTGGAAATAATTTATAAAATATTTTTTGAATCATCACATTTTGTTTTTGATAAATCTTCCCTAAATTCATTTTAATACCCTGTAAAAGCAATTTAATAATCAACTTTTTTATATAAAATAGTGAGATATTGATTATTTTTGAATATCAACCATATACGATCTAAACTTAAATATTTATGTTTTAAATTATGATTTCTCATATACTTCACTTTCTCTAACAACATAATGAAAAGAATTAATAGCTATCCTAAATGAAATCTAACAAATCCAATTTTCTAAATATCAAACATAAAAATTACTATTAATTCTATCAAATCACTTAATAGAAAACATTTTGATCTATTTATTTTGTATTCGATAATTTTCTCATCTTCATAAATTTTTGTCTCACCAATAGAATCATACTTTAGTATTTCCTTTAACTATTACAGGTCTTTGTATGAATAATATTAATAAGTGTCGTATTTTAACCCTAACATTAATAAAAACAATTTCTTAATTATATTAATCAATTTTCTTTATTTTCCGACTCTTTGAGAAAAATCTTTTTCAGGATGCTCTACTTTGATTAACTTAAATAACGATATAGAATCAAATACTTATAGAAAGCATTTTTTTTAAACCTGAGAATATTAAAATGATTCTTTAATTAATCAAGTTCTATATAATATATTTGAATTGGTTTGTATTTGATGCATTCAAAACCTGATTTTTCTGCTATTATCATAACTGATAAATGTTTTTATTTTAGAATGGATAAATAAATTAACAACATAAATA